TCATTAATCCTAGATGTCAGCAGTTTGATCCAAATTTTTGGTTATATAATAATAATAATCTTTATTATTTCTTAAATACATGCATAGCCAGTAAATCTACAATACAGTATTATAAGAAAAGAGAGAAATACCTTACTTAGTATTATGTTTTAAAACAAAACAATATTAAATCGTTGCACATAGTCGTAACTACTTAAAGATATCATAGCACTTCAACGAAATAAAATAAAAGTAACTTGAAGCATCTTAATGTGCTATTAACTTTAAAATAACCTACGCGGTGCAAAGTGTGAAGTTTTGAGACTATGTACTTACGAATTTGGGTTTCTGGTATTTACACTTCACTCACTGTATATGGCACTAGGTATTTACCAAACAGCATTTTTATAACTATTAAACAGTAGCATTGTCATTAAATTCCTAAAATATGTTTTTTTTTTCTGTTATGCAATGTTTTAAGTATTTACCTCCCGTGTTAGTTAAAAACTGTGTTACGGAGAAGTTATTATTTTGAATAAATTGGGCCAAAAACGTATTTATACAATCTTTAATATAATTGAAGCACTTGAAATACTAGAATTTTGTGTTTATGTATACTAAATTTCTTACTTTTTTTTTTGTTACGGGTAGACAGTTAAGCTTTGATACACAAAAAATGGGTACTATTCCAACGGTTACCACAGTATATTTTAAAAAGACAGATACTTTTTCACTTCATAATAGTGGCAAACTAAAAAAAGGCTAGATTATGCTTTGAGTATTATTAGTACATGTATAAAGGAAAAACTCTATACTTACTGACTGTAATTTTTGCATAATAATAAAATAATAATATATAAATAATAACTTTATTTCTCACCACAAATGACAAAAAAGGTTTACACAAAATCTTAGGCGAATTTTATAATCATGTCGTCATTCGTGGGAGACTGGTGCCCGTGTAGGTTCATAGACCCGTGTTACAGGTCACCAGGCCCCCATTGTTTACAGAAAACATTACACCTAGACAATGATACTCTAAGGGTTTGTAAAGTAAGCATCGACTAATAATGGGCAGTTTGTGTGTATATGAGAGTGTGTGTATGTAGGTATGCGTGTGAGTATGAGTGTGTGTGTGTGTGTGTGTGTGTGTGTGTGTGTGTGTGTGTGTGTGTGTGTGTGTGTGTGTGTGTGCAATATAAGTTTATATTAGGAAGGAAAACATAAAACTAACATTATCATCTTAATAATGCATTATATATCATACATATCTTTCGCAGTGGTCGGTCATTGGATGGGTGAACAAAAATCTTCTATCTCGAGTTCCTCCGTACTTCGGAAGGCACGTTAAACCATTATTTACAGCTGTATCTGCAGTCGTGGTGGGTCATGGCCCAATCTCCCTATTCCATCTATAGGTAAGGCCTGTGCCCCAGCAGTGGGGACATTAATAGTCTGATAGTGATGATGAGGAATGCATTAGAATATATTAGATTGATAAAACAACAGTACACCATCATGTATTTTACACATACTCTTTGATAGGAGAATTGAAGTGAACATTTAAATCTACATCGGTCTCAATTTTCGGCTACTATCCTACATTATATTTTTTCTCAGAACAACCCACCAAATAGCACGAGGCGGATAACAAGAATTTCGGGAATACACACTCCAAATAGCCGGATAATGAAGACAAACTTCCGCCACGATAAACGGAAATAATTATCGTCAACAAAGACAAACAACCGGCCGCCGCGCTAAACGTGAGTAGTTTAGATTGAACCAAATAAAGAAACGGCGCGACGGAGACATGATAACTAGTGTTGAGTAGGACTTACAAGAGGCGGTACATTTGTTCCGGACATGACGTCAAAATGTAAGAGCGGCTCAAAATTTTAAAATGTACTACTTCATATTTGTTTCTTAGGTTTTCACGCACATCACTCATGAAATAAAACTAGTTTTTACGGGTTAATGCACGAAATTCAATCAATTCAATAAATAAATAAAGTTTCGTGCATTAACCCGTAAAAACTAGTTTTATTTAATGTACTACTTCACATTAAATGTCGCGATAGTCGCGTCTCGTTACTCGCTCACTCTTCGTAAGTCTGAGAGAGAGCGAGGCATGACATTTCATTTAAGTCCTCTACGCACTATCCATCTGTATCTCTATCTCTTCTTCCTAATCCTTGTCACTCGCACTGGGTTGCGTTCAAAACCTACGCTCTAGGTGCAACAAATATCTAAGTTGACAATAGCTTCATACATTTTATGTCAAAATTTAAACGTCAGGGCAAAAGTTGCACTCAGAGCGTAGGTATTGAACGCAGCCCAGGGTTGCGTTCAGAACTTACGCTCCAGGTGCTACTCGTGCACACAAACGTAATGTCGAGCTTCTGTACGCCTCAATGTCATATTTTTACTCGTCACTTCAAATGTATTGCCGAGCTTCAGTACGCCTCGCCTCATTTGAAGTGGGACATTGTACTGGCTCAGTTACGGTTGCCAGATTGGCTGGACTTGGCTGGATTGTCCAGCTATTTCACACGTTGTCCAGTGTCCCGGTTTTAGGCAAAATGTCCAGCTAAAATGAAGCTGAAAATTAAAAACCACCAGTATTAGTGGTTTTTCCACCGAGTTGGCAACACTGGCTCCGCAGCGGCCTCTTGCTATCTATGCCCGAGATTGAATTCAATAATTCGATTGAACTTTGACGAAACTTGTGCTAAATTTAAATATTTTCTAAATACAGATAAAGGTTTTAAAATAATAAATGCGGCTAAAGGAAATGCTAAATATATGTGGCAGAAAAAGTGATTTCATATTAATTTAGTTTGATTAAGTTCCTCTGTTTTGTAATAATAAGATTTTTTTATAGTCATGCTGATTTTTTTTGTCCAGCCACAAATCCTAATGTCCAGAAATTTTGATTTCTTAATCTGGTAACCCTAGGCTCAGTACAATAAAGAGGCTACTCTTACAAACTCTTTTTCAAGTCGTGTCCTACCCAACACTAATGATAACTACACTCCTCCGTCTCTCTCTTCCCCTACTGAAAACTTGTTGTTTTTTATCGCGAGTAATTTCTCAGAAAGCGCGGGGAGAGTATAATATGCTGCTCGTTGTTCACTCGTTGCGTGGAGAATGTAATAGGGGCGTATTAATCAGAACCCCCGAAGCGAGGCGGCACACACAAAAGAAGCTTGTGAACGCTTCATTGAGACAGACATACTTGGAAATTTTCAGCGTGCGATATCGAGACTGATGACTGGAATAGCTTAACTAGACAGCGCACTAAATAAACCTCAATGGTTACGCCTATAAATCCCCAAATGCATGCTGTTTTAAAAGTAATGGATAAGGTGGAAAGTGTTGTTGTCAACTGTTACTAGATGGCGCCATCAGTTTGTATAGTGTGAAGTCTGAATGGCGATGTTGAGATTTTTGCTGTTTATATAACCCTTAGAAAATAAGGTTTCTTTACGAATACATTTATTCCTTGCACCTTTCAAAGTTTGTTTGGGATTTGTACACTCACAATGTTGTCGATTCTGGCATGATTATCTAAACTTTAAACTAAATTTAACACTAGCCTCTTCTCTTCCTTCTGTTTTTATTTCACTGTGTTTTCTATTTACTTCGTGTCATGTAAAGACACTGCTAAATCTCAAACGTTAGAGTTCTTATATGTGTGGCAACCCTGCACAACACACTCCGTTGGACCGCACCTTTAGCATGCTGAATATCGCGTAATGTAACACAGCCTTTTCTTTTGTAATCATTTTACAACAGTGGCTAGCGACCCGTTAGCACATTCTCTCCGAGTTCTAATTTGAAATTGAATCCTTAAAATTTCCTTCCATTTAATGACTATAAATATTTTAATCTGCTAAAAAATAACGTTTATTAAAACATCGAATCTAGTTTCTTCTTAAATTCTTGCGAAAAACGCTTTGGAAAAATAAATCTTGTTGAACAACAATAAGTAACTTATTCACCTTTTAATTAAATCAAAATTGGTTGCGATTGTTAGATGTCTATCGCAGAAGTTACATTGTTTGAAAGTTAAAGCAACGTTAATTGAGGAAATGTTTGGGGTTGATTTTATTAAAAAAACTGCTAACTATGATTCTTAATTAAAAATGTCAGCCCATACGATACAGTTATTTTGGACGCGGTACTACACTCTCTCGCTGCCGCCCATTTCATTAAAGTAACAGCACGAGTAAATTTATCAGGGGATGTTAATTCCGCCCATTGTTTTATAAAACGGTCTCCAATATTTATTGGAGCCAAAATCAATTGCGCTTTGGTCGGTTTAGGAATAAAGCTGCTTTAATATATACCTATTGCTGTTCTGAAACGTGGAATAGCTTGGGATTTTTTCTTTTAGAGGATTATAGTATAAATTGATGTTTTTTTTTATATCGGTGGTGAATAAGTGTGTGGCCCGCCTGATGCTAAACTGACTTTCTGACCTCTTAATAATATACGTATAATGCGATTCAAATAAGAATAGGAAAGCCAATGCCATCTGTCAAATGTCGCTTGAAAAGTACGGTTTGCAAAAAAATCTCGAAACATTTTTTTAGCATTCAGCTGATTCTAGATTAAAAGCAAACATTTTTAAACAAACAATATGTTGATAATTAATGTTATTTTTTTTTTACTTATTATCGTCAACCAAATGTCATTTTATGTTGCGTTCAGAAACACCAATCCGCACTGGGCCCGCGTGGTGGGTCATGGCCCAATCTTCCTATTCCATCCATATCTAGGGAAGGCCAGCAGTGGGGACATTAATAGACTGATGATTAAAGACCGACCGACCGATCTGTAAGGAAACTACTCAGTGAGGAACTCCCATTTAATTAAATGCACTCGGTAAAGAATCCGGTGAGGGAGTCGCCTTGTACAAACAATAGAGTCCACACCAAGCCGGTGAGGGAGTCGCCTTGTGCAAACAATAGAGTCCACACCCAGCCGGTGAGGGAGTCGCCTTGTGCAAACAATAGAGTCCACACCGAGCCGGTGAGGGAGTCGCCTTGTGCAAACAATAGAGTCCACACCGAGCCGGTGAGGGAGTCGCCTTGTGCAAACAATAGAGTCCACACCGAGCCAGTGAGGGAGTCGCCTTGTGCAAACAATAGAGTCCACACCGAGCCGGTGAGGGAGTCGCCTTGTGCAAACAATAGAGTCCACACCGAGCCGGTGAGGGAGTCGCCTTGTGCAAACAATAGAGTCCACACCGAGCCGGTGAGGGAGTCGCCTTGTGCAAACAATAGAGTCCACACCGAGTCGGTGAGGGAGTTGCCTTGTGCAAACAATAGAGTCCACACCGAGCCGGTGAGGGAGTCGCCTTGTGCAAACAATAGAGTCCACACCGAGCCGGTGAGGGAGTCGCCTTGTGCAAACAATAGAGTCCACACCGAGCCAGTGAGGGAGTCGCCTTGTGCAAACAATAGAGTCCACACCGAGCCGGTGAGGGAGTCGCCTTGTGCAAACAATAGAGTCCACACCGAGCCAGTGAGGGAGTCGCCTTGTGCAAACAATAGAGTCCACACCGAGCCGGTGAGGGAGTCGCCTTGTGCAAACAATAGAGTCCACACCGAGCCGGTGAGGGAGTCGCCTTGTGCAAACAATAGAGTCCACACCGAGTCGGTGAGGGAGTCGCCTTGTGCAAACAATAGAGTCCACACCGAGTCGGTGAGGGAGACGCCTTGTGCAAACAATAGAGTCCACACCGAGCCGGTGAAGGAGTCGCCTTGTGCAAACAATAGAGTCCACACCGAGCCGGTGAGGGAGTCGCCTTGTGCAAACAATAGAGTCCACACCGAGCCGGTGAGGGAGTCGCCTTGTGCAAACAATAGAGTCCACACCGAGTCGGTGAGGGAGACGCCTTGTGCAAACAATAGAGTCCACACCGAGCCGGTGAAGGAGTCGCCTTGTGCAAACAATAGAGTCCACACCGAGCCGGTGAGGGAGTCGCCTTGTGCAAACAATAGAGTCCACACCGAGCCGGTGAGGGAGTCGCCTTGTGCAAACAATAGAGTCCACACCGAGCCGGTGAGGGAGTCGCCTTGTGCAAACAATAGAGTCCACACCGAGCCGGTGAGGGAGTCGCCTTGTGCAAACAATAGAGTCCACACCGAGCCGGTGAGGGAGTCGCCTTATGCAAACAACTGCAGACTGAACGCGCCAACTATTGCACCATCAAGTTTCAGAATGATGCTTTTAAATAATACATTTGAATTTTACGTTATTTAAAATAAAATATTTCATGATGCTTTTCCTAAATTCTGATCTCATCATGGTCCTTAATGATCTGATAATCTTTTAAAACACCTTTGTAACGTTACATATGACAATTAAAAATTAAACTAGAATTTAATGTTAATAAGTTTTAGTGAATGTACGTTCATGCAAATGAACATCAAACCAGCTTAATTTATTTCAATTATTATTCTCTAGAGATTTAACTAATTAATTTTAACAGCTCAATTCCCTTTCACAGCATTAAACATTCAGCGTGAAGCTGTCGAAATTAATTAAGTAACTCATATGATTGTCCGTTATTGCAGTATCTACTCACAGCGGTACAACAAAATAGAGTACTGGAGATAAGCTCATGGAAGTTATTAACTTTGCATAATTATGCTCGGCTGCCGCGCTAGGATTGTCAACTTTGGGGTGCTCCATCATCGTCAGCATATTAATGTCCCCACTGCTGGGGCAAAAGCCTTCCCTATGGATGGAATTGGGAGATTGGTCCATGACCCACCACGCGGGCTTAGTGCAGATTGGCGGGTGCAGATGCAGCCGGGACCAACGATCGATAACTCGAAGATTTTGGTCACCCATCCAATGACCGACCACTGCGAAGGTTGCTTAACTTCAACGATCTTAGCCGAACGCACTCACCACCCGCGCCATCAGGATAATTTTGGCTTATGCACAAAAAACTGGAATAAGCATCAAAACAAAGAGTAAAATGCACCAGCTGTCAACATTCCTGAGCAAGGAACTAAAAATATATCCATGGACAGGAACAATGGACAGCGAACTTTTGAAAACAACTAACAAACTACAGCAAATATCAGTCGAGCTGAAACGCGAGTTGTGAAAGTATGAAAAAAAAATGTGTGTGTCAGCTCCGACGCACGATTGGAGTTTACTCCTTAAATTCGATAGTCTAACCAGACGCAAAAAGAGTTTATTTAACTTAAAAAAGATTATGATTTTATTAATTTTTTTAAGCATTTAACTGCTAGATGTTTGAATCTAAAGAAAAGTTTACTAGCCGTGGTAGCATAATGGTCAGTGCATTCACCCGGATAGCGAAGGATGCGGGTTCGAGTCCCGTCCGCTGCCTGGTCCGCGTGGATTTTTTTTCTAGTAAACTTTTCTTTAAAAATGATTGATACTGTAAATGCCATAATCACGTTTATTTCTAAAGCTCAATGGTTTTGTGTTCAACGAATGGCGCGGTGGTACACCGACGCGGTTTCTTTGACGTCGTAGGCAATAAAGGTACGCTACGATACTGTGCTACGGCGTAGCACTACGGCTGCTACAGCGTAGACAGTAAAAACGTAACGAGCTCATTCATCGATAGATTTCACTCCTCACATTTTTCTCATACCGGGCCCCTTATATATGCAAATCGATTCTTAAGGAGTAAACTCCAAAAATTGCCGATCAAAAACATAGTTTTATCTCTCCAACTCCATCGGCGCCGAACGGTTAAAAATGAGTATTCGTATCGAAATTGGATTTTTGCGAACCCGCTATCGTTATGAGATCCGTGTCAAAAAATTCTGAGGCGGACCGTGAGCTTGTTTGCTTTCCACGTTTTACATAAAAAATGCTCTTTCACGATCCGTATTATCGGTGCAGGCTGTTGCTGGAATAACGTATTTTTTTTCGTTGGGGATAAATGAAAACCGTATGCAGTGTGACGTTCAAAGGGTGTATAAATGAAACAAGACCCTTGGTGTCAACAACAAATTTATTTGGGTGTGGTTCAAAGTGCCCGGGTAAAAAACCGTTACAGTATTTGAAAGTTCTTTGGTTTCCCCTCCTGGTAGTTCCGCCGAAGAGAAGTCCGGGCCCAGAGAAGATGGAGATGGTCACGAAGCGGTGGTAATACTGGTCGACAGTGAAGTCCCGAAAGGAAGTCGGAAGTCGTCGCCAGGCGATGGGGTGACCGTAGGGATGTCGAAAGTTGAAAAAAATATCGATATATCGATACATCGGTCTTTTAAAAAATATCAATATCGGCTTCGATATATCGCGAAAAAAACATCGATATATCGATATATCGGACCAATTTTCCCAAAAATATCGTAATAGCTAACGAAATATGACACGCGGAATAATAATGGAACGAAAATTATCTCCCTAAAAATAGACCATATTTTCGAATGATGACATAGACAATACTAAATACAGCACAGATCATAGACATGTTGAATATCATTAATCTGAGATCCAGTTACGATTTTTCCAGATTCGAATTTAGTTAGATCGTGATATGCCGCTAATAATTAAAAAAATATCGTTTTTGATACAAATTTCGATATTGGTTATTTTGTATCGATGTATCGATATATCGAATTAAAATATATCGGCAAAAAATATCGATATATCGATACATCGATATATTTTCAACAAGCCTAGGTGACCGTGACGGGATGGAACGCTGTTCGTTGTCACTCGATGGAGTACGGTGGACGCCACACAATGGACCCAATACGTGGGTTTATGCACTGAGTGTAATGATTGATTAGGCTTAAACAATCATTAAGATTATTTATAGTTTTCAAAAAAAAAATGGATGCGTGTAACTTATGTACGCGCGTGAGAAGTTATACTTCTTTAGCATCATTAAAAATATTTTTTAATTGCATGCATATAATTAATAATTACAATAAAATAATAAAAGGACTGGAAAAGGATAGTTAACACAGTCAATTAAGTTCAATTTTAATTTGAAAACTTAAATAAATATTCAAAATATTCAATTAAAATCACTACTGAATTTAAGTTATTAGTCCATATGTAATTAGCACTTGTAAGTAACTAAAACACGTTGTGTCTATATAGAAACTAGAAACATGTGGATAAATATTATAAATATGAAAACAGTGATCAGAGGCGACGAGCGTGCCAACATTGTTTTTGACAACGCGATCATCTTATGGAGCTCCGTGAATCGTTCAAAGTACCTTTCGAACTTATATCACCATATAATCCACCATTATTAGACACTAACATTCATAACGCGCCCGCGGCCAACTTCATGGTGTTACTATTGTGTTACAGTGATGCGCGCGCATCTCGGAATTTCACTCACATCATTTTTTCATAACGCGCCCGCGGCTAACTTCATTATGTTACTTTTGTGTTACAGTGATGCGCGCGCATCTTAAAATTTCACTCTCATAATTTTTTCATAACGCGCCTAAAGAAGTATAACTTCAAAAATATAAAGACCGCGCTTTGTCTCAAGGTCGCTGGGAGCCAGAACGAGCGCGGGTCTGCTCGGAGTTCAATTTCGGAGTGTGAGATGGCCGGCCGCGCCGCAGTCTGTATGCTAAATGAATTTTGTGTTTATAAACAATAGGTATTCAAAAAACTGATTCGTGTAAATAATGTACAATTTAAGTTAATAATATTAAGCGTAAATTATTTTTTAAGTAGAATATTATAAGTTTTAAAAAATAAATATGTAACAACGTTACTGCAGATACAACAAAGGCATTAGTTTAATCAGTATTAGTTTAGTATAAAGCCCTGTTGTTTGATACATAGTTAAATATTTCTATTACTCACCAACATTTGCAATTTTTAGTATAGCCAGGTATGCAAATGAAGTGTCATTTGCATACCTGGAAGAAGTGTCCCCACCTGATGTTAAGTGGTGATAAAGCCCAGACGTATTGATAACGCACCAACGTATGAATAGCTCCACAAAGCTCGTATATATTGGCCAATTGCATTGGTATTCTTCAAATTTGGCGAACGTCATCTCAAGGTAATATACAAGGCGCCGCCGCAGGTATGTACCTGCGTACCAAAGCTGATGCTTTGATACCTACTACACACTTAAACAAACAAACATACACGACCAGAATGTATATGTATCTATATGTAATCAAGTCATAGGTACAAGATTTCCATTACACCTCTGGGCGTTGGCTAAGTTTTCTGTTTTACTATGTTGTATTTCTTTTTGTTGTAGAGTAAAGCAAGTACATTATTGTCGTAGCTAGTCAAATAGTTAACGTAGACACCTACATATATTAGTCAATGTGACAGTGCAATTAAACAATATTAACAAATAGTATATATATGTTTGTATTTGTGTGAAAAAATTAATGAATGAATGAATATTATGAACACGTTATAATAGGAGGAGGAGCGATATGCAAGTGAAAAGTGTCGCTGTCCGCAGTTGCGTAGGCGCCGGTTGCCACACGTAACCGTTGTCTGTTTGTATGTGTCATTTTAATTATTTATTTGTATGTTAAATCGTGAAAACGTATTGATGTTATAATATTGAGAAGCAATTATTATGACGAGGTCCAATAAGTCTGTTGGAGAGCATAGCTTCTCATAATGCGGTGCTACGAGTCAGTAGTCCTTGTGTTTTACGACCGCCGCGATAAGTGTATTATTTTAGAGAAGAAGTCCTTTGAAAAAGTGCGGACGCCGTTTATTATTACCTTTTCATGTTTATACCTGCCGGCGGCTTTACAGTTTTAAGGGCTATGATTGCCGTAGTGGTTTTGTTTTTCGTACTTTCTTCAAATTATTGCGTTCGCTACTCGATGTTGGAACTTAAATTTTTCAATCACACAACTAACCGTCCAGAATTCTCGGTCGTTAGATTAAACTATAACACTAGTAAAGTTAAGATCTTTTCTAAAAGCAGCGAGCAGTGTTACCAACCCTTACCAAAATTTTCCCCTAAGTATTTTTTAAATTCCCCTAAAATCCCCTAAATATAGAATTTTATATGTATCTACTTATTACCTAAATTCTTTCGTTGCTCCTTAATTAAAACGTTACTTATTTAGTTACAGAAAATTATTTTATTGTATAAATACAATTTCCCAAAGGACAATCAAACGAAAATGAGCTGACAGGCTTTTAAATCTTATTTAGCTGTTTTTTAACTTTAGTACATACAGCCTTAGGAAACAACCCGCCACACAGTCACTTCAGTCATTTCATATCGTGGTGCATTCCATTCTACGCACAAA